GGAATGTCACCCTGAACCTTTATCAAGGCCGATTCGGTGCTATGGTTCTTCTTGTACGCTGATCGGTCAAGTTCTCTTAAGAGCGAGTCCACGAGAGCACTGGGCAGTCGTGCTACAAACACTAATCTAAATTCCCCTTTATAATCCATCATTTCATCTGTGGAAACCATAAAAAAAATCTTTGGGCACTACTGTACTTTTGTCTTGGATGCCTTTAAAAATCTGCGACTGTGACAAGTTTCTCTCAGCTACACCACGCAATTCTGGCTCTGGCCGGTCACTTGACCGAATAATCCTACATTTTTTAGCTCTTCATACAAGAAAGTTAAAAAATGCGAAAAACTTTCGAGATTTTTTCCTTTTTAACTCGTGAATTGCGCGCATGCGCAAGAGCGAGTTATAGATACGATGTGGTGAATGGCATTCGCTCGCTCGATTGGTCGATTCCTGTAAACTTTTTTTAGATTTTAGGCTTTTGAGTGCATTTTATAGTTTTTGGCGAGCAATAAACAGACGAAATGGCGACCTTTGTTGCTAAGAATAGTGGTGGGGTGAAAAAGAAGCCAATGATAATCTTAAAAGAGTTTTTTTTTTCGTTTTAGTTTCAACAAGCGGCGCCAGCGACTGGCAGGCATGCAAGGATTCACACTGAAATAACAGAACAACCTTCGTTTTTCATAAAATTGTAATTTACAATCCTTGAACTTGAAAACAATCCGAAGATTCATTGAAAATATCACTTACTGCGAAGCGCTCGGAGTTTACAGATGTTCAAAAGCTTTTTCTGTTATAGCGTGAGATTGAGGACAAAATTGATCATTACGTTTCGTCGCGTGTGTTTTTCCTGTGTGAAGCAACAGAAGATGCCGGCGACTGACGAAATAACAAGTGAACACGAAAATCAGATAACACCTAAACAAACAATTTTAGCTACCGATTTTCAGTGAATTTTTAAAGAACAATTTTCTTTTAAGTTTCAAGACAATTTGAAGATTCAACATACATACAACGTATTAAAATGCGAAAGTTACACACCACAAAATTGATAAATAGGCCTGAAATGAAATTCTATCTTGTTATTGATCATACGTTGCCTAGCACGTGACTTAAATCTACCCAGGCGGAGATCCAAAATGACGGTGGCAGGCTTGGCTTAGTTATATCACTCAAAACTCGTTCCCGTTTGTCTCATTTGATAAAGAGGGAATCGTTAATGTTTTCATTAAGACAGTATTGCCTTGATTTTCTAATATTTACAACGAAAGACAGTAAATTTCACTTTTCACCCACATTTACTTCCAACCTTTTCTTTTGAACCAGAAACAAAAATGATAGACGTTTAAAACACATGACATCATCCACCTTGTCAAATGTAATAGCATGATCATTTCAATTGTAATGCCTGTAATGCCTTCTTATCCCAACGTTACTTTGTTTCTTTGCTACATTAGCGAACACTGAACTACTGCTCGTACTCTAGATATGACAATCAACCACAAAATTCCCTAAACCAGATAACATTAAACATAATCTAAAAAATCATGTGTCAATTCACGAGTTTGCTCACAGAGCACTTTGATTTTCAAAGGAATGGAAAATTTCACGTTTAGAGAGATGTATGTAGGCGAAAAATCGATTGGAAAATCGTAGCGTTTCTTTCTTCTGTCGTTTATTACTTCGGAGATTTGCTAAAATCAGCAAATATGGCTTTTTTACGGCACAAAGCATTCATTATTCTATAATTTGATTGTTTATAATCATAATCGCACATTTTAGGAGATTTTAAAGTCACACGCTGCGTGTTGGTTGACATTGTTACAAGTTCAGGTGTGCTACAACTTCGGCTTCTACAGACGAGAAATTCTGCGCTCTCGCTTTAGAGCAAATATCAATAACTCTATCAAACTAAAAACTGTGCTACTATCCCGAAAATAAAATTAAAATAGTGTTGTCGTCGTCACTTACCGCCATCGAACATTTCCATGCAGAACTCCGCAAAACTAATATCTGTTGCGTGACCCGAAGGCTTTCCGTAGGAATTATTCAAGCGCGTTGTTCATGCTTCCACCTTTTGTAGTTTTGCTCTTCTTTCACGGACTTTACCTTTACTGTATTTGATTTTTCGCTGTCTTATTTTATATTTAATTAAATGCCATAAAACATGCTTATCCTGAACTTCTTTAAATTCCTCTAACCAATTCACATATTCAGTGGTTAAAATTTCACAGTAGTCCGAGTCATTTACTAAGTTCGAATTGAATTTCCAGAAATTCGATCCTCTCTCAGATTCATCTAAGCCGCTAATTGAAAGGGTTATTGCCGAGTGGTCTGTTTTTATTGATGTTTTAATTCTCCAAGAGTTGCGTCGCCACGAAGTAGGCTGGGATGACCCAATACCCGACAACATCAAGGTTAAGTGGGAAAAATGGAGGGCGGACTTACTGCAGGTGCGGTGCCTTTCTATTCCTAGATGCTACAAACCTGAAAGCTTCAGTTGTGCAGTAAATGTTCGACTTCCTCATTTCTAATTAGCGTGCGTCAAAGGCTATGGCCAGTGTAGTTACTTGCGACTTGTGGACGAAAACCAGAGAATTCATTTTGCCTTCGTCATGGGAAAGCCCAGGGTAACACCACTGAAGCCTGTTACCATACCTAGACTCGAGCTTACTGCTGCCGTATGCTCAGTGAGGATCAGTAAAAGATACTAGATTCCCGATGGATCACTGGACAAGAATTTCTTTGGAAGAAAGAAAACCAGTGGCCTACCAGCAACAAAGATCACAATCTTCAGATCGCTAAACATTATTACCAACGCACACGTCATCAGGGCACAGGAATGACCTTAGATGAAATACGCTCGAATGGTTTTTGGATACTTGGAGGTTCATCGATAGCCGCCAACTTGATTTCCTCTTGTGAAAAGTGCCAGAAACTCCGTGGCTCAGTTCAAGAGCAAAGAATGTGAGATCTACCTGAAGAACGCCTTGAATCCACACCACCTTTCACTTATTGCACTATGGATTATTTTGGGCCCTTCATTGCTAAGGGTGGTCGTAAAGAGCTGAAACGCTATGGTTTCCTCTTTACCTGGTTGGGGTCGACAGCTTTACACCTCGAGAGATCGCTAACTCGCTCGAGACTGACTCCTTCATCAATGCCTTGAGGAGACTCATTAGCCGCCGCGGTCCCATCCGCCAGCTACGGAGTGACTAAGGTACAAACTTCGTCGGAGCTTGTAAAGAACTTACCTAAGCGCTAGCTGAGATGGACTAAGAGAAGTTAAAATGGCTTTGCTGGAAGAACAGTGATTGGTTTTCCTTTAAGATGAACGTCCCAGCAGCGAGCCACACGGGAGGAGTTTGGGAGTGCCAAATTAGATCTCATGTGTAAATCTGAAGGGATAGTCACTAGAAGTAATATCGCTGGTTTATACAGAGTTTATTTAGCATTGGTAGAGATCAGTTTTTTGAGCCTCAACAAACCTTAACGCCTAGAAACCTAAGACATTTAGAAGATTCAAGGGTGTTTCCTTGAAAGTGTAATGGAATGTTATTTTCTGTCCTGTTATGCTGTAAAGTCAAAGTTTGATATTTGCTCAGGTTTCCTTTTAACAGATTGCTAGCATACCATTCGGAGGTCCTATTGGCATTCCTCATAAGATTGGTGTTAGCCATTTTCGGGTCCCCCGCTGGGGGGGACATTTGATGGTCATCAGCGTATATAGAGAAATGCGAATTAATTGCATATGTCAGATCATTTTGAAAAATGTTCCACAAAAATGGGCCTAGGGCCGACCCTTGGGGGAACCCCTATCTGTCCGCCTCCACTCACTTCTGAAAGCTCCCAGTTTCACTTGGTTCAATCGATTAAACAGGTAAGATCGCAGTAGATCACGCAGTTCGTCATGAAATCCATACGCTTTTAATTTACTGATCATTAAGAAAGGATGGAGTGAATCGAAAGCCTTACTCAAGTCGGTAGACAAGATTTAACGTGCTGATTTCCACGCTTCAATAAGACTTATCAGTGTTGTTTCACAACTATGGCGTTTACGGTATGCCTTGATTCGGGGGTCCAAACGGCTGTCGAATTGTTTTGAAATCTGGTCGCTAAGTAGCTTCTCAAACACCTTAACAACTGGAAGGATAGTTATTATATAGTTCCGACTATCTTGTGGATCCTCTTTCTTAAAGATGGGTGTCCATTCCCCCCTTTTCCAGTTGCTTGGCCATTGTCGATTTATAGTACATGAATTGTACAGATTCGCCAGTGGTATAGCGAGTTTTTCCGCTCCATACTTCAGTACTCTGGCTAGCAAACTGTCACATCTAGATGCTTTTTCTCGTATTAAGTGACTCCAGAGCATTTCTGACTTGTACTTGGTTAACTGGATTGTACTTGATCGTTGGTTTTGAACTGTTTGCCATTCATATTTGCAAGACACTTAAATGGTTATTTAAGTGAATCTCCAATGAGTTTCTTAAGTTGACATCTCCGATGTCACTTGCTATTGTTGCAAAATGATCTGCTAATATTTCCAGAACAGTCTCTTGGTTGCTAATGATCTTGCTGTCAACTTTTAAGTTAATATCAGTTCCCATGACCCCCTTCCTAGATCCAAGAAACAGTTTAAAAGTTTCGAAAAATTTCTGGGGTTTTCTTTAAGGTCAGAAGTCTTTTTCTTCCAATGTTGCCGTACAGCAATTCTTCTTTGTCTGACTGCCTCATTGCGACTTTTCACTTTCTCTTCCCAGTTTTGTCGTTTACTTTCATTCAGATGCTTCCTTAAACGCTCTTCTCTTTGCTTGGATGGCATTTTTCCATACAGTCGTTATATAGGGCGTATCTTTATCCCTACTCGCTTCTTTTTCTGAAGGAAGCATTCGTTCACGATGTCTTGCATGCTTTTATCCCAACAGTACGCATTGTCAAACAGGTTTCCGATATGCCAAGGTGCCGTCACTAGTAGGTTATCATATTTCACCTGATCAAAATGTTTTTTAGCTCCTAAAATGGATGATTTTACGTGAGTGTTTCCTCGATTTTTCTTTTATTGTACCATAGATGAGCATATGATCGCTTAGAGCAGTGTAAAAAACTCCTCCTTTAATGAACAGGTCTGGTTGGTTGGTCAGCAGTATATCAATAAGCGTGGCTGTTGTTGTTGTTCCATTTATATCCAATCTAGTTGGCTGCTTTATAAGGCATTCAAAACCCTGCACCGTTTCGAGGTCCAGGAGTAATTTGCCCTCTTTCCTCTGAGGCCTTGGCCTACCTAGGCTAAGGTCACCAATAACAGTCACTGCGTCTCTTTGAAGTGACGCCTAAGTACAAATGTCGTTTAGTTCTTCCTCCAGCAATTGCTGGTATGCTTCCACTAATGGCCTAGGTGGTTGATAAAGGCCAATCATTATCAGGTTTAGCTTCCCAATTTTCACGTCCAACACGATTGGCTCCAGACACTGGTAGTGGCGATCAGGTTTTTATCTCCTAAATGGAACTACGGTGAAGATGAGAGCCGAGTACCACCGCCGCTTTTTTGTTCGTTTTTTTCGTTTTTTCCTATCCTCCACATTTTAAGATCTGCAGCACACATTCCATAAAAGAATCGCTGGTTAAATTCCAGCATGTTTTGTAAAATTCTATTGGCATTCCATCATTACTAGGTGATTTATTGTTTTGGAAGCTGTCTTAAATAGACTTCATTTCCTCAAGAGATATTTCACCCCCGGAAGACTGTTTTTGTTCTTCCCTAAATTTTGGTTTGGTTAAATTACTTAGGAAGGTTTGGCCAAATTTGATTTCCGTATCTATATATTGTGACTTATACTGATTGTGGTAAAAGCGTTTCTGCTCTTCAAGTATTTTGAAGGGATCAGTCGTAATAGCGCCACTTATAAGTAGTTTCCTGATATGTTTTCCAACGTTATTTCAGTTTTCTAAATTTAAAAAAGTATTTTGTACTTCTCTGTGTTCATGCCAATGAGCTCTTACGCAGATTATGATTCCTTTTGTTTTTCCTCATAAAAGCGTTCAAAAACTTCCTTGGCGTCATTTAAAAAATTTTGATTTAAAGCAGACGGATTTCTACGTACCTCATTGTTGCTTCTTCATAAGCTGTTTTACAATTTTTTCTTTGCGTCTTGTTCCTTGGCCTTTCGTTTAGAATGAGAAATAGTGTGATTTCGGATGTTGTATTTTAACCAATCCCAGATGGAGTGATTATTCGATAAATTATTTATTTAAGCCAGAACCTTGAACGTTTTGATACGAGTCAGTTAGAGCAAGTTCAATTGCTGCGTGTGCTGGAGTGATATCCATTAAAACAACGAAATCCTGTAGGCTGTTGGAAACTAGCCAGTGGTCCAAACGGCAGAATATTTTATGGTAATCTTTGGCTCTAATTGATTCTTCAGATATCTACTAAATCTAACTTGTTTTGTAAACATTCAATATTATCTATTACCATTTTCCTTGCTACCATTACACGACCCTTTTTATAAAGCTTTGGATTTAGAGGGCAATTAAAATCTCCTCCACAAATGATATTTTCTTCACAATCTAAATTTTTTTTTGCAACTTTGTATGTAAATTTTTGAAAAAATTGCACATTATTTTGTCTTTGTTTGGTACATAAATGTTTATAAAGATATAAACTTTGTCATCAATTTCGACTTTAAGAACAATGAAATGCCCCGAGGGATCTGTGATAGTCTTATGAATTGTGCAATTTAATCCATTTCTAATCAACACCATAACTCCACGAGAATTTGGGCTTCCATGTGAGTAATAAATTTTCCCACCCCACTCTTTTATCCATTGTTTCTCTGATTCCTCCCTTGAGTGCGTCTCTTGAAGGAATACATCTACGTTTCTATCTAAGTTTCTTTTACGACACTATGTGTAAATCTACGTTTGTGGAAATTATTTTTCCCCCACACTTTTAAGGAAACTAATTTAAAGTTTGCCATGTATGATCGTTTTGTAGTTTACCAAATCTCTTGGTAATCCGAGATTTTTTATCTGGATGTGCAAATATCTTCCTTTAAAATATTGAGTAAAGATATGTTTCTCCTCCAAACAAAATATAAACTTACATGTAAGAAACAAAACGCACACACAAAATTACGTAATTAAACAGAAAGTCTATCAGTTACCAGACGTGGTTTCTGACCTCAATCAAAACCGTTCAAAGGACTTAAATCTCTTTTCACGGTGTTATCATAATGGGGGAGATTATTTGTACCCTTTCCACTGTAAGTACGTCCATCAATAATTAGTTTGTCGTAAGCTCTTTGCTGCCCTCGTTTCGCCTTCTTTAGGTCTTGAGCGGCTTAACCTCAAATCTGGTGCCTTACTCAAAATCCAGTGTACTCTTTCAAAGCGGATATTTTAGCATCATTGTTTGGAATTCCTCTTTGACGTTGAAGATTTTTATGTTCTCGCACCGCCTGTAGGCTTCTTTCTGACTTGATACTTCTTCGGTTCAGGGCATCGATATCAGCGTTAAAGAATTCAATGTCTTCACTGTGTTCTTTAATTATTGTGGTTGTGTCCCTTTTTCTTCAAGGCATTCAATCTCCTTCTTGGCAAACTCTACTGATTCCTTCTAACCTTTAAATTCTTCTCTCAGTCCAATCATTTAATTCTTTAATGATTTAATTTTCCCGCAACTGCGAGAAGCTCATCTAGTTTTGCATTCAAAACATCAAGACGATCTACGTGCTTGGCATCGTCGTCTGTTTTAGAGCCACTTTTTCAAAGCCTTTTGCGACTCTCTCTGTGATTGGTCTCTGGGGGCATTCTTTCCCGTTAATTCCCGAAAATCAAGCATTGATTGCAAATGTGTGAGTATCTTGAGAGAAGTGACGCCAAGATTTCAAGCCTTGTGTTTGATGGTCTGATGGTCTACAAGAAAGACGTTGAAGGAAGACATGAGGAACCTTTGGAAGGGTGCATGACCAAGGTCAAGAAGGTTGTGGGGGTTGATCTCAGAATTCTTGAAAAACCGATGGACAAGCAATTCAACATCAATCTTGGTCGAAAGGAACTGAAAGAGAATGAGTGAAAACCACTGGAAGACATCTTCTGCATCGCAAAAACCGAGGAAAAATACATTTTTTTCATGAAGAAGATCATTGTCGACAGATTCGGCAAGATTGAAGAAGACGAAGAAGGAAACCGGGAAGTGAAATCGATTGATGTGAAGTTTGACCTGAGATTCCTTGACAGCCTCAGATTCATGCAGTCTTTTCTGGCCAGTCTTGCTCCAAATCTTCAAAAATACAAGTTCTGCCACCTCAAGAGACACATCGATGACGCAAAACTGATGATGAGGAAGGAAGTGTTTCTACATGACTACTTTGATTCAATCGAGAAGATGAGCGACACTAAACTGCTGCCCAAGGAAGGGTTCTTCTCCTGGCTGAACAATGAACAAATCAAAGATGAAGATTAAGATCACACCCAAAAGGTCTGGAGAGGTTCAAGTGCAAGACGCTGGCGGACTACCATGATCTCTAGCTAAGGGCAGATGTTTTTATCCTCGCAGACGTCCTCCAGAACTTCAGGAAGGTCTGTCCTGTGAATTATGGACTTTATCAGGCGTGGTACTTTACTTCACATGGGCTGGCTTGGGATGCTCCTCTCAAGAAGACACGTGTCACTCTCGATCTTCTGACTGATTCAAACATCCTTTTGATGTTTGAGAAAGGAATCCGAAGAGGAGTTTCGATGATGTCAAAGATATACACAAAAGTGAACAAGAAGTTCATGAAAGACTTCAAACCTGGCGAAGAAAGTTCATTCATCATGTATCTCGATGCAAACAATCTCTATGGATGGGGAATGAGTCAAACATTCGATTTCAAGTGGATGGTCGCTTCTGAGTCCGAAAATTGGGACAATGTTGTGGGTTCTGATTCTGACGTTGAGTGCAGTCTTGAAGTTGATCTTTTTAAAGATCAACTTCAAGATATTAAAATATCCTGACGATCTCCATGATCTTCACAATGATTACCCACTCGCTCCTGAGAGAATGACAAGGTTGAGAAACTTGTTCCAAACTTGTATGATAAAGATAAGTATGTACTTCACTCAGGCAACTTGAAGCACTGCATCGAGTTGGGATCGAAGATGAAAAAGATTTACTGGGGGATCAAGTTCTGACAATCTACCTGGCTGAAAGCTACGTCAACTTGAACACCAGACTCCAGACCGAAGTCAAATAAGAATTTGAAAGAAGACTTCTTCAAGCTGATGAACAACTCAGTCTTTGGGAAGAAAATGGAGAACACCATGACCAGGGTTGACATCCGATTGGTCAGCGAAAGGAGAAAGGTAATCAGACTTGCTTCAAAAGTCAGTTACAAAGACAGCACAATCTTCGATAAGAATCTGATCGCAATTCACATTCAGCCGAGTCGCCTTATGAGTAGCATAGTAGTTGAGGATGGGAGCGCAGTTTTTCAGAATTTATTCGAAAAATTTAGCAAAAAGTTCATCAAGAAGGCCAAGTATGTGTAACTTTGAATACCATCTGATTGTATATAACGCTTGCATCAAAGCAAGATGATGACACTTTGTTCAGTTTGTAACTGCTAAGCTAATGGTTTTTACTGCGAACTGTTTTCATTATATGATACACTTGTCTGCTCTGTAAAGGATAAAATTCATCTTAATGCCTTTTGCTGTTTTGCCGCCTTTCTCATCTTCTTTGATATAAGAATACATTTTCTATCTCAAGCCAACGAATTTGATTATGTGAACACTACAAGCTTCATTTTTAAATTTACCGATCACTTTCTTATTTGTTTTATCAAAAAATTGTGAATTTTCAGGATATTCGCTGTCATCGAATTTATTTTTGTTTGCCCAAAAGTGCTTATAAACATTTTTTGTTTCTATATGATATGTTAAATTGTCAGTGTCTGTGAATAATAATTTTGCTTTATCGTGGTATTTGCTTTCGATGTAATTGTAATGGAGATCATAGAATACTCATACTCATGTACGCGGGTGTTTTTAATGTTATTGCTTATTTTATTTTGCGAATTTCTACAAGATTGCCCTTGAAGATTTTACTGCTTACAAATGTGGGCTTCGAACTGTATTTTAATATTTTTTTCACCAGTAATGAGTTTGACATCTACTCTCTTTCTAACATTTTCCATCGTTTTACCAAATATACTATTATTCATAAGTTCGAAGAAATATTTCTCCAATGAATTTTTGGCGGCTGTTCGTTTCTGTGTATTTATTGGCTATTTTACCAATCTCGAGCGTAATAAAATGGCTGTCCCATAACCACGCAGATTATAGAAAATAACGGGTATCTTCTACCTTAAAATTTTGATCTAAAGTGATTTACATTACAATCTTGATGTGTAGATCCTCTATATTCTCCTGTAAT